TTAGACAAACTGATTTCATTATCTTTGGCTATCTGATACCCTGAAGTGTTCCCCTGCATTTTCTTCTAGTGATTTCATTGTTTTGAGTCTTTGACTTAAGTTTTTAATCCTTTTTTGAGTTGATATTTGTAAGCAATGAGAAATATAATTTAGTATATCTGTCTTCTGTATGTGGACCCCCAGATTTCAAGACCATTTTTAAAAGAAAGCTAACCTTTCCACAATGCTTGTTTATAGCATCTTTGTTCAGAGACTGTAGGTATGTGATTTTATTTCTGGCTTCTGTATTCTGTCCATTGGTATATGTGTCTATTTTTATGCCAGTGACATGCTATTTTGATTACTGCAACTTTGGAGTCTATTTTGAAAGTCAGGTAGTAATGCCTCCTGCTTTGTTCTTTTTTGTTCAAGTTTCTTGGCTATTTTTTTTTTTGTGGTATCATACGAATTTTATGATCTTCCTATTTCTGTGAAGAAAGTCATTGGTTTTGATAAGGATTTCATTCAACTGTACATCATTTTAGGTAGTATGGACTGTTTTTTTGTCTAGTTTTGTTTTTTGTGTTTTGAGACAGGGTCTCATTGTGTAGTTGAGCTGCCCTGGACCTTGCTATGTAGCCCAGTTTGGTCTCAGCCTCCCAAGTATGGGCATTACAGGCATGTATCATCAGTCTATCTAATGTGGATCTTTTTAACAACGTTTACTCTTCCAGTCCATGAAACACAGAATGTCTTTCCATTTTTTTGTGTCATTTATTTCTTTCATCAATGTTTATAATTTTCATTGTAGAGATCTTTTGCCTCTTTGATTAAATTTATTCCTAAGTATCTTATTTTTTATAATAGTTGTAAAATGGACTGTGTTCTTGATTTTTATTTTAGATAAATCACTCTTAGTGTATAACATGATTTTTTATTTTTGGTAGTGCTGAGGTTGAACCCTGGGCCTTATATATGGTGTATATGCTGGGTAAACCCTGCATCACTGAGTTACACCCCCACCCCATGCTACTGAATTTTGCAGGTAGATTTTGTATCCTTCAGCTTTACTAAATCATTTATTAGTTCTGAAAGATTTTTGGTGGAATCTTTGGGGTATTAAGTATAGACGATCATATCATCTGTAAACAATGACAATATGACTTTTTTTTCCAACTTGAATGATCTTTATTTTTTTCTCTTTCTTCATTGCTCTGGCTAGGATGTCCAGCTATGTTTAATAAAAGTGGCAAAATCTAAGAGTGAAAGCATGTAGCCTGTCATCATTCAGTAGCTGTTGGCTAATTATTGTGGCCTTTATTACACTGAGGCTGTTTACCTAATTTGTTCAATATTTTTATCATGACTTTTGTCAGATGTCTTTTCTGCATTTATTGAGGTGATCAGTAGATCCTTTGAGGTTTTTATCCTTCGCAATGTTGTTGTAGTACATGGTATTGACTTACGTATGTTGAACTACCCTGTTTCCCTGAGATGACCATGCTGAATAGTCTTCTCAATGTGCTGTTGAATCTGGCTTGCTCACATTTTGTTGCGGATTTTGGGTCTATGTTGGTGAAGGATATTGGTGCGCATTTTTCTTTTTATGCTATATCCTCGTATGGTTTTAATATAAGGGTAATGCAGGCCTCATAGAATGTGTTTGGAAAAATTCCCTCCTCTTCAATTTTTTTGTAATAATTTAAGAACTGGTATCATCTCTTCTTTAAATGTTTGGTGGAACTCAGTATAAAGTCATCTGGTCCTGGTATTTTCTTTAATGGAAGACTTCTGACACTGATTCAGTCTGATTACATGTTATTGGTCTGTTCAGGTTTTCTATTTCTTCATAATTCAATTTTGGTAATGTGTATGTTGATGATGCCCTAAGTCCAGGTTTGCTGTGCGTCCACTTTTGGTGTGTTGCCACTGTTTCAGCACCAGAGGGCGATTCAAGCACAGGTTTGTCCCAAATCTGGTTTGTTAAACTGAAACCAAGGGAATACCTTAAAAGGATAGTCCATGCCCTTAAGCCTCCCTGTGGTGCCAGAGTAGACCCAGACACTTTATTTAAAGTCACTGGCCTCTGGTAATAATACACTTCTGGATTCTGCCTGGATTTGTGCAGAGTTACTGTGAAGAGCCAGTCCTAAGCTCTTATGGCCGTAAATGTTGCCAAGCTGTGTGCCAAGATCAGGACAGCACTGGGATACGACCAAGGCCCACACTACCAGGCAGACTTATGGTCAAGACAGCTGCAACTAGCCACAGGTGATGCTGGCCAGTATAGAATTCTGAGAAATTGTACCTGTGTGTCTCCTTTTCTCAGCACTGGGGCTGTTCCAGAGGCTCTGCCCATGGCCACTGGCCTAGAGGTAGGGAACTGTTAGGATCTTCCTAGTGTTAGGTTTCATAGCCTGGCACTGAGTTTCAGTGCAAAGTCTTGTGCTAATTACCCTGTCCTACCCTCAGCTAGTGAATGAAGGCTTGCTTTATACTATGCTGCTGGAGATGGACAGTATTGGTGAAAGCAGTCCTGTGGTCACCAAGGCTGATGCTAAGCTGGGCTATACCTGAGTCTCATAGCTACAAGGACCTGTACAGTCTTGGGTGGAACCAGGCCCACGTTGCAACTGGTGATGATGCAGACCAAAACATGAGTCTATCCCACTGGGGATCAGGTCTTTGTCTTGTGCCAGGCAGGTCTAGGGGCTCGTTCTGCCAGCCCTGACCTGGGATACCTATGCTGTTCAAAGCTAGGAGACAGTTTCTTGGCCACCATGTCTGACACTAAGTTGAGTTGTTCCTGAGTTTCATAGTCCAGGGACCTGCACAGTCTGAGGGCTGGGTGTTTGTCCCAGGTCCACTCCAAGGAAGGTGGTGAAGGGGGCTGAAACTCAGTTCTCTGCCTGATGCTGGGGCAGGTCTAAAGCCTCCATATTTGAGCTCTGGCTGGGTGTGTAGAGCCTTTGGTTTCTGCCTGATTTGGGAGTTTCACCACAGTGGGCCTGGTATTGAGTTCCAAGACAAAGTTCTGTGTTAGTTTTTGTGCCCTACTTCCAAGTTGGTAGAGTCTAGCTTCTCTTTCTACTATGTGAGGTTGCAGGAGGGGTAGTTGCTGCAGTCAGCTGCCTGGCTTATGCAGTTCTGGCTTCTCAGTCTACTGGTATTGACCGAAGGGCTCATGTCCCCATACTTGGGTTTCACCATGGTGGCCCTGGTACTTGGTTTTAAATCTAAAGCCTAGGTTTACTTTCTATTTCTCCGTCAAGTGGGAAGCATCTCTCTCCATGCAGCTTGGAGTTGGGGAGGGGAATTAATACCTGGAGTTCTTTTCTTTTTACCCTTTCAATTCATCTTTTCCTTTCATTATGCTAAAACCAGGCACTATGGTCTTTTATCTGGTTTCCTTAGCTCTGTGAAAGTAGTTTGGTGCACGAAGAGGTATTCAAACTGGTGTGTCTTGGGGTGATAAACACCGGAGGATCTTCCTCAGCCACCATCTTGCTCTACCTCTTCAAAATAGTTTCAAGGTCCAGGGAGGTTTACAATTTTCTCTTTTCCTTCTGAAGGTCTGTTAATTTTAGTCTATGAAGTGAACTGATAGATTAGTGGGAGAACAACCAAGTAAAATTTATTATGTTCATAGGCAAGGGAGCCACACACAAAGTCTGAGTGAGACTCAAACAACCAGATGGTTGAAGCTTAAATAGCATTTTGAGTCACAGGGGAAAAATGGGACTTGAAGCTCTTCAGGGAAGGTGGGGGCAGATTATGGGTGAGGGAGAGGAGAAATTCACAGTGAACAAAGGTCATATTATGGAGATAAGTCTCCCAAGAACAGTCATCAGAAGACTACCTACCTGTGGTAATGAATTTCTTGTTCCTGTGAAAAGATCTTTCCTATGCAGAGAAAGGTATCTCAGAGAGGAGGCCACTGCTTCTACTCTTGTTAACTGGTATGGACAGATACAATTTTGCTTTTGCAAAAGGATGGCTTTTAAGAACCATTCCTGTGTCTGCAGAGGTCTGTATTTCTTGAATAAGTAAGTTAAAATAAACCAAAGAAGTGGTTTATTTTTCTCTCCCACAGAAGCAATTCTAAGGCTTTTTTGCATGTTGTGTGCTGTAATGAAATGTGCGTTGTATGGGAAGGCAGGATGCTGAGTTCTGGGTTCTGTTCTGCTCTTCACTCAAGGTGTCACCTCGAGTCCTTCATCATTTGGAATTCTTGTTGGTAAAGAAAGGAGATGGGTCCTCCTGTCTGTCTCCAGCTCTGGGATTCTAGTAAGGGGAAAAGGGAAGCAAACAAAATGAAACAATAAAAACTTCAAACAAACCCAACACAGTGTAGACTGTCATGGCTTCTTTTTCTTCTCTTATAGCTAATAGGCTTTCTATTGTTGTACTAAAAAATTCAGAATAAAAAAAGTTTAGGTTTAATAATAATAATAATAATGCCTTAATTATTAGGATTAAGGCATTGGTTATGAAATTGTTGTAATTGTGTGACTAAGAACAGTTCTTGATTCATCTGCACACACAAACACACACATATATATTTTTTTCCATTGTTCCTAATACCGCGTCAGCATAGTCTTAGTTTGTGTGTTCTTGGGATCTGTATGATATATTTTAAAAGATTTTAGTTGAATTTAGAGGGGCTGAACTCACAGGTTTAGAATTACTTTCTACCCAGTTTCAGGCTTGTGATTGTTCTTAATTTCTTAAGTATTTTGAAGCATATTATTCCTGAGCCTTTACCAGATTAAAGCATCACAGCATTCTTCAGACCTCTGACATCCATGGGCTTTGCTTCTAAACTAAATTGGTCAGAGTTTGTGATGTTTTATGTCTTAACTTAAAATGGGCTTCTGGAATTATTTTCTGTTGAATGAAGTGTTAGAGATTGATCCTTAGGAACTGATGTAATGTAGTCGAATACTTACATTAATTGTGGTTACTACTAAGTGTTAACTATATAGAATATTGTTAAAGGCCCTCTTGTCTTTTTCTTCTAGTTCCCAAAGACCCCAAACCCCAGTGGAGAAGGGTGGCGTGGAGTTATGATTGCACACTGCTGGCCTATGCTGAAAGCACAGGGACCGTGAGGCTGTTTGACCTCATGGGAAGTGAACTCTTTGTCATTTCTCCAGTACGTACATACTCTAAGTGATGACCTACCTTCCTTCCTTCCTTCCTCCCTCCCTCCCTCCCTTCCTTCCTTCCTTCCTCCCTTTCCCCTTCCTCCTTCTTCCTTCCCTCTCTCCCTCTCTCTCTCTGTGTCTCTGTATTCTTTGTATAGGTGCTTCAATGAATGAATGTGAAGAGGATAATAAACTATGAACTTAAAATAGAATCTAGTTAGAGATCTGTATCCATGTAATATTTTTTTCTTTGTGTTTTATAAACCATACGGGTCATATGGTAGTAAGTAAGTACTAAATAGAGATTATTAAATCAAAACTCTTGAGACCAAGGGATGTCTGAAATAAAAAGGTTTATTGAGTCATTACAGAGGCTAACCAAAAAAGAAAGGGCTAGGTTGTAGGACATGTTCTCATAATTACCAGCAGTGAGGCTAGGTAGCAGCTGGAATATGCTGGACCTAAAGTTAAGAGTATGTTTATGAGCTTTGGGGGAAGGAAAGCATTGTTTACACTGAACCTACACTGGTTATAGAGGGGAAGTGTGGGATAATGTGAAACAGGGAAAGCTTGGGACTGGAGGATAGGCCACAGGAGGAGTAATGAGTGTGGACTGTTGTAGTCAACAGTCCAGAAATGGCCTGGTAGTTGACTCTGATGGGATTTAACCTAAACTTTCAACATAAGGAGTTTTTTTTTTTTTTTTGTGGGACTGGGGTTTGAACTCAGGGCTTCATGCTTGCAGAGCAGGTGCCCTTTTTCTTGAGCCACACCTTCAGCCTCTGTAGAGTCCTTTTTGTTGATTTCACCTATGCCTGTTAACTGATTAACTTCCCTATCTCACCCTCACCCCTCCATCCTCTGGCCCTTCTAATTAATTTTAGGATATCTCATATTTTTCTTTTATCATGTTATAGAACATTGTTATAAAATTCTAGGGAAGGAAAGAAGGTTGTAACAGGAACAACTTCTAGAGGAGTTAGAATCTGTTACCTTAAAGGGGGTAGAAATTAGAGAGTAGAGAAAAAAATAACAGTGGTAATAACTTGTGTACTACCTTATATTTCATTAATCACTTAGGTATGTACTCTCATGTAATATTCACAGCAACTTTTGTGTAGATTGGTCAGATATTATCCCCATTTTACTTCTTAGAAAGTTGAGATTGAGTGGGAATCAAATGACTTCTCATGGCAGTAAGTGTCTCCTTTAGGAACCTAGTGCTTCTTAGTTTTTATTCTCCTTCCTTAGCTGAACAAGAGATAAGGGCAGAATAGAACAGTGGTTCTAACTCTGGCTTCATCTTAGAATTATAACTAGAGTCTTAGGCCTGAGGCCCAACGCTGGATATTCCAGAATGTCAGGTCCACCATTTGCCCCAAAGGAAGCAAACAAAAGTAATGGTGAAAAGGGAGGAAGGAAAATTTTAATCCAAATGAACATTTGGGGGAAGATGGAGAGTAAGCGTTTCAGCCTAGTTTTTGGGATACTACATGAACTTTAGGTTTAAATAGAGGAAGAACTGGGGGTGAAAGGTATGCATAATTGGTCAGACTGTGGACTGATTGGTCATTATCTCAGGCCTGATCTGTGATTCCTGAGAAGTTCTTATTGCTTGAGGGGGCAGTCAGATTCCCAGGAGATGATCCTTTCTACTGGAGAGGTACAGCCTCAATTTCTGTCATGGGTAATTTCTCCCACTTAGGGAATGCTCTCATCATGGGGTGATCTGTTTGTGAGGTTCCTGAAATCCAAGAAGACTGTAGATTTAGGGCAATGGCTGGAGATTTTCAGGCATCCCTTTGGGGCTCTGGAACAGGATATTGTAAAAGCTGACATTGTGATACCTCAGTTACTCTTATTTTTGTACTTTCACTCTTGAAGGGGGATGAGATAGGTTAGCTATCAACAGTTTTTAGACTGACCCTTCTTGAACATGTCTATGTGCCTGGTTGAACAGCAATCTGACCCTGCATAAAGGAGTCAAATACAAAATGAAGGTAGAGATGCCAGGCTTTTATCCTGATTTTAATTACCTTGTGGGCCCAAGTGAGTAGTTGGTATTTTTTAGCGAAAGCAATTCCTAAGTACCTGTTATAGAACCACCTGGAAGCTTTATTAAGAAAAGAAAGCATGAACAAAGCACATCACTGAATTTTCCAGGCTTACTGCATGGAGAATCTACTTAAATTGATCTGAGAAGAACCTGGGAATTAATACTGTTCACAAGCTTTTCAGCTTATTCTAATGAGAAAGTTAGGGTTGAGAACCAGTGATACAGAGAATGATTTTCATTCAGAAATAAAGAGTAAAAATTGGAAAAAGTGTTACCAAAGTCAACACAGCTCTCTACCTTGGTTCTTGTATCCAGTGAGAGAAGAATTTAGGCAAGACGTAAAAATAATAGTAAAAATGATAGCAATGTTTATTAAGAGAGGTGGACACTTTCAGTAGAATTAAAGTGGGTTATTTCTCTAGTGGGAGTGACCATTATTTTTTTATGCTGGCACAAGTTTTTACTGAGGTGAAGGGGCTTGGAGCATTAAGCCCACGAGGCTGGGTTAAGATCATCAGGTGAAGAGGTTAGGGTGTGTCTGCTGCCTTAAAATGTTCTAACTACTATTTGGTCCACCTGACCCCTAGGATATGGTTTATAGGCCTGGGACTTTGTTTTCTTAAGTAAAAATCTATTGTTTCAGGAACTGATTTTGACCCAGTCTTAGGGTAGGTGACTCTAAAACATCTTGTGACATCCCATGACCTTGGCCGGCCATTTTGATCTAACAGAGGCTGTTAAGAATCGGAAAGTTTAATTACAATGCTGTTTTTCCAGAGATCTTGATGAATCATAAGTTTTAGGTTCTCTTTGTGCACCCTCATCACTCCTGGCTGACTACTGTAGAAGTCCTGTGGAACGAAACTAAGGCTCTCTTTACTGTATTGTAGACTAGTGCTGTTTCATGAGAATATTGTGAGAGCTCTATATGTAGTCAAGTGTAATTAAAAAGTTTTAAGACATTTTAATAAGCAACAGGTAAAATTTATTTAAGTATGTTTTATTTAATCTAGTATAGCCAAAATATTTTCATTTCAACATGTAATCATTATAAAATGTTATTAGTGAGATATTTCTTTCCTTGGTACTAAGTCTTTGAAATTTGATGTGTATTTTTATATTAATAGTATATCTCAAGTCAGACTCGGCATCTGCTGATTCTAAGTTGCCTTCAGCTCAAGTAATCCTCCTGTGGTATGTTTTGCAGGAGTGTTTCTGATTACTTTAATGGTGATAAACTTTATGTAAGCTTCCCAAGGTGCTCAGGCTTTCAAATATTTAGCAATATAGTCTGATATTTAGTTTGTGGAAAAAAGATTAACACTGAGTGAGTGTTTTAGGTGTCTTTTCTTTTAAGTTGCTGATTAGGCAAATGAAAAGTAGTTGGAGTCTTTTTAAATATAGCCTACTGCTGCCTGTGGAAATTAACATTTGAAAGCTTATATCTGGAAAGAGGCTCTTAGAGTTAGTTCTCTAAGACTGAATGGTGCCATTATTTTTCTTTTTGCAATGAATGTACAATTTGATAGGAATTTACTTATGTAGGTGAACATCTCACTGAAAGAGGCTCCTGTCCTTCCATCCTGTGGTTGGGAGGGCTGGTCTAGAATTGAGTGTCAAAGCCAATGCTTTGGATAGCCTCCATTTATGCATGTGATAGCTTTTGTCTAGTATCTCTTTAATAACTTAATCTTCCCTTCTTTGATAGGCATCTAGTTTTGCAGGTGATTTGAGCTATGCCATTGCTGGGTTGATATTTTTAGAATACAAAGGAAGTGCACAGTGGTCTGCAGAACTCCTGGTCATCAATTACCGAGGAGAGCTGCGAAGTTACCTTGTAAGGTAAAAACGTACTTTTTGAAGTCATAGTCTTTACTTTTCTGGGCAGAATTCTGTTTGTTGTTACATTTTCAACAATATTTAGTGTTGTCTGTCTTTTAAAGTATAGATATTTTATTGGGTATTCCATGATATTCATTGTGTATTAATGGTATTTATTTCTTATTATCTTCTTAAACTTAGTGTTGGAACAAATCAGAGCTACCAAGAGAGTCACAGTTTCAGCTTCAGTAGCTATTATCCTCATGGAATAAACACTGCTGTTTACCATCCTGGTCATAGGTAAGCAATCATTTGGTGGAATAGTAGGCAGGCATAGAAATGTTGGCACACACTCAGAGAGAGGAAACTGTCCATCTGACTCTTATTTTGGCCTCTTCGTTCTATATTCTTGTGTGTAGTTATGTTTCATACCTAATATTGTTGTGGTCATCTTTTGATCATTTGTGCTGTCTGTCTGACTGACTGAACTCTGAGCCAGGTAGGGCACCGATATTTTCATTGTGGAATTTTTTTCTTTTTTTCTTAACTCTCTGGACCTTTTTCCTCTCCTCTGCAAAAAGGGTATACTACCTAACTCAGTGTTACTGAGAGAACTAATAAAGTGCTGAATGTGGCGTGCCTCTCGAGGAAGGGCCTCAGTATCCTTTACTTCCGCCTCTGTTTTGCTTGTTGCTTGCACACCTCCTCCTGTTCTTCAGGTACTCCACTTCTCCACACTTTGCCTTCTCTTATGAGGTTTGCTAGAAACTTTTGGCATTTCTGCTAGTGATTTTTTCCCCTTTAATTTTGCTATTTGAGAATGAGATTTACATGTTTAGCCAACCTCTTTGCTTCTTTACATGGAAAGTGTATTAATTTTGAGTCAAATGACCAAAAAAGCTGGCGGAGTGGTGTAAGCGGTAAGAGCGCCTGCCTTACAAGGGTGAGGCCCTGAGTTCAAACCCCACTGCTGCCAAAGAAAAAAGAACCATGAGTCAAATGACCATAATCTGAGTTTTGAGTTTTGGAACTAATCTGTGTCTGTAGGCAAGTCCTTAAACTTTCTGACCTTCAGTATACTTCTGTTCTTGACTGAAAATGTATGCAAGTTTTGTAGTCCATTCATTTGGATCTTCCTATTATTTTTGTTCAGAATTTTATTATTATTTTGGTGGGACTGGGGTGTGAACTCAGGGTTTTGTGCTTTCATAGCAGGCATTCTACCACTTGAACCACACCTCAGGTCCATTTTTCTCTGGTTATTTTAGAGATGGGGTCTTGTAAACTATTTGCCCAGGCTGGCCTCAAACCATATTCCTTCTGATCTCAGCCTCCCAAGTAGCTAGGATTACAGGTATATACATATATGTGTGTATATATATATGTATATGTGTATATATATATATATATATATATATATATATATACACTTAAAAATTTTTTTTTTCTGATACTGGGGTTTGAACTGAGGGTTTCCTGCTTGCTTGGCAGGTGCTAATGGCTTGATATCTTTTCTCTTTGGGTGTTAGGTATTGACATTTTTGTGTAATCTGTGTATTAATTCTAGATCTGTTTTATGGATGATGAATATCTTCTCCCAAGAGGTGACTTTTTAAAAGCATTTCTTTCCACTTACATTTTATTTTTTGGGTGATAATTTGTACATAATTTCAAGTGTTAACTAGTTCTAAAAAGAACTTCACCCTATCACTTTTAGCTAATAGTTGATTCTTTTGATTATCTTCAAGCATCTACATAAAATGCTTACATTGTTACTTTTTGATTTCCAATATTACAATCTGTTGACTTCTCTTTATGGAAGGTGGGTATTTAGTTTTCTTATTTACTCCACCATAGGTATGCACATCAAACTTTTCCTTGTTCTTCTATATATATATCTGTATACGTATGTATAGATCATAATTTTGTAGGTTGAATGCTACTATGGTTTACATTCTGTTTACAAGTGAGATAAGAAGTGTTTATAGTATTCCATAATTGCTTTTCCATTTTCTCTTTTTTTTTTGGTGGTACTGGGGGTTGAACTCAGGGCTTCACTCTTGCTAGGCAGGCACTCTACCACTTGAGCCACTTTGCCAGCCCTTTTTGTGTTGGTTATTTTTCAGATAGGGCCTCACTTTATGCCTGGGTTGGCCTGGACCACAGTCCTGTTTGTGCTTCACCGCAGAGCTGGAGTGACAGGCGTACACCACTGCACCCAGCCATTGATTGAGATGGGGTCTTGCAAACTTTTGCCTAAGCTGGCCTCGAATCATTGTCTTCCTAATCTCTACCTTCCAAGTAGCTAGGATTACAGCTTGAGTCACTGTGCTTGGCCTTCCATTCAGTAAACATTTATGGATTTTTTTTCTTTTTCTTTTTTTTTTTTTGGTGGGATTAGGGTTTGAAAATTAAGGTCTTCACACTTGCAAGGTAGGCGCTTGCAAAACAGGTGCTCTACCACTTGAGCCACACTTCTAGTCCATTTTGGTTAGGTTATTTTGGAGATGGGGGATCTCAAGAACTATTTGCCTCGGCTGGCCTTGAACCATGATCCTCCTGATCTCACCCTCTCAAGTAGCTAGGAATATAGAGTTGAGCCACCATCACCCAGCTCAATTTTTGATTTCCTAATCATATAATTGGGAGTGGTAAGTGGAAGCTTATTCTTTGGGAACTCACATTTTTTTTTTATGAGGATATAGGATCAGCAATGCCCTGAGGAATGCTGATCTGATTTGGAGATTCTAGAGAGTGAGTGACTCTTAGAGGCTAACATACTAGTTCAGGTCATAGGCAACAAGGACCTAGATTTTCATATATAATTGCTAATCTGTGTTTGTGCCACATTTGGAACCTACTTATATATACCACATTATCCACTGTCTATCTATCATCTTTCATCTATTTGTCTATCATCTATCTGTCTTTTTGTCATCTATCAATCATCTATCATCTATCTATCAATCCTCTGTCTTTCATCTGTCTATTTAACTATCTAATTTATCTAATCAATCAATCAGTCTATGTATCTATCTATCTTGATGACTATACCCTCACAGTTTGGAGTTTTCGTTTGATGGTCACCTGGCCCCATTGTATTGGTTTTGGGCCTGAGGTGGCACACAACATCCTGGCACAAGCACATGGTAGAGGAAACTTCTTACCTTATGGGGCGTGAAAATAGAGTGAGAAAATAAAGGGCCATGATCCCAATATCATGTTTCAGAGCAGATCTCCCGGTGACCTAAGTTACTTTCACTAGGCCCCACTTCCCAAAGGTTCCACCACCTCTTAAGTAGTGACATGGGTTGGTGACCAAGCCTTTAGTATATGAGCCTTTGGGAGACAGTTAATGTGCAAACCATAGTAGGTATTATATATTTTAATCCTGGGTGACTTTTCTTTCTTTGGTTTATTTCATACTATCTTGTTTTATTATAAAAATCTGTATTACTTTTTCTTCCTAGCATTATGTCAGGAGAGTAAGTGGGGTTCATGTGGCACCAAAGGTTTGAAATTACCATGTATCAACTAGTTATTACATGATAACTTGTCTTAAGTCAGATTATACTTATTACTGTCAAGGCTTTCCATTTTTGGTTCAGGATCAAAGCAACTGAGGGAATTATATTTTTGGGGAAAGGGCAGTCTATTTAAATGAAAGTTTTAAAAGGCTAAATATATTCTCAAACCAAAGAAGGAGGTTTTCTTATTGGTTGTACAGTTGTATACAACTCTTGATACTAGTGAAGTTGGAGATGGATGACTACATTAATGTTTTTGGATGAAAATTGCTGTAAAGCAAGGAATATGTGTAACTGCCCTATTGTGATGACAACAATTTTGCTATGCTGTCAATATTTTTCAATATGTGGTCTTTTTCAAATGAAAGGCCATGAAATATTCATCAGATTTTTATTTATTTTCAGTTTCTGTAGTAATACAAGCATGTGATATTTATCACGTACAAGGATCTTATAAATGTGAAATAAATCAGCCAGAGTGGAGTTGGGGTAAATTGGTAATATACTAACTCAGGGTTTTATGAAATTCATCGTTTTGCCTGATGCTGCGAATGCTTTGAAGAAGAAAAATTGAGGTAGTAAATTGGGTAATATAAAACAAAAATTAATTGAGAAGCTTTGGGATAAGCTCTATGGATATGCTGATTTTGACTATTTTCTCTTTTTACATATCCTAACTCAGAGCCTAATGAATGTATTTTATCTCCATTACCATGCAATATCTGGAGTTCTGCTCCCCTTCACCACCCACCCAAACACCTTGCTGCCTTTCCTTTTCCTATTGTTTCCTTTGCTTGTTTGATTCACTTTCGGTTATACTCTGATTCTGGTTGAGGCCTGTCCCTTACTTCTCTGCATTAGTAGAAGAGGTAACATTAAACTTTTAGTATATGGTGGGTACTGTGTCACACAGAGGTGATATCCATACTTTACAGTCAGTTTTCGTAGTCATATATTCACAAATAGGGCTGCTTAATTTGAGTCTAAATACAAGACATTATGTGTAGTTGTTTAAAAGTCACTTATTGCTTTCAACAGTGTATCACTTTTTTTCCCCCTGAAGATTTTGTTCCTAATTTCATTGTCAATTTCTGTAAGCAAAATTTGACTTATTCAGCCTTGAATCTCCAACAGTTCTTTGATACAAGTACTGTTTAGAGCTATCTATTTCTAGATCCTCATTACATCTCTGCAAAGTCAAAGACAGAGAAAATGCATCCTTTCTTGGGAGAAAGTATCCTTTGAGAAGCCATCCATGCTCAAAAGTTTTGATGATGACTCTGACACTGATTTCAAGTGCACAATTCCACGATTTTGTCCTAAATGTAGATAGTTGTGCAACTAAAACTGCTATCAGTTTTATATCTATTACCTGTAAAGATTCTTAGTCTGTGAGTTTTATGGATTTAAGTCACATCTCAGTAAAGGTGTTGTGTTATTCCTTTCCTTATCATAACAAAATACTAGAGGCATGCTACTTTCTAAAGAAGAGAGGTTTATTTTGGTTCATGTTTTGGAGGTACAAGATCTTCAGATGGTCTTGCTTGCAGAGTCCTGTGGCAGTATGGATCACGTGAAAGAGACAGGGACCATGCATGTATATGTGTACACACATCTGGTCTCTGTTGTTATAAGGCCACCAGGATTTAAAAATGGAGGTTCCACCCTAATGACCTGATCTAATCCTAATCAATTCTGAAAGCCCTACTTCTGTAGTTGGGTCAAGTTTACACCTTCTTAATACTTCACAATGGGGATCAAATTTCAACAGAT